GGGGTTGGGGCGACGTGGCTGAGTTGAGGGTTTGCGGCAACTGCATATGGAGGTTGGCTTTAAGCAGGGTGCGGCGGCGGTGCAGCAGTACGCGCTCTGCCCGCAGCGCCCTGACTTGCCCCTCCCCCTTCGATCGGCGGCGTTGGTGCAGCGCCCGCAGGCGGCGACCAGGACGGCGGCGGTGGCGGCGAGGGGGCGGGCGGCGGCGGCAACAACGGCAAAAGCGGCGGCGGCGGCGGCGGCGCGTCGGCCGCGCTGCCTAAGCTGCAGCAGCAGCTTGAGGCGGCGAAGCGGGCGGATCTGGACGCGTTGGCGCGGCAGGTGGGCGGGCGCCCTCGCGCGCCTGTCGCGCTGGGGCCGCTGCGCAGTACGCTTGGCTCGCTGTGCATTTGTGCATGTGCTGCTGTCGTTGGGTGCGGCTTTGAAGTTTGCCTGCATGCAGCCCTGGCTGTGTTGTGTGGCTTTGGGGCAACAGCTTCCCAGTAAATCATGGAGCCACGCACCAGAAAGCTGATGCTTCTGCACTGCCATTGCGACGATGACTAATTGGTCTGACCCTGTCAAGGCGTACGCGGTCGGACGGCTTGCAAACCTTGTAAGCGCTCGCTTGCTTTGACCGTCCCGGCTGCCGCAATGCTCATTCGAGGGTGTGCTTGCTCCTCCCGCCGCCCCACAGGCCGCGCGCGCGGCAGGCTGGGTCCCCGCGGACGGCGAGGCCACGCCCGGCGAGGGCGCGGCCGCGGCGCCCACGGGGGCGAGCGAGGGCGCTGGCAGTGGCGCCGGGGGCGGCGACGGCGGCGGCGTGGCGGCAGTAATCGGGGCGCGGCTGCTGGCGGCCAAATGCGTGCTGGATGAGTTGGAGGAGGGCCGAAAGGACTACAAAAAGAAATTTGCTCGGCTGGAAAAAGAGCAGCGGCAGCAGGATCAGCCTCGATCCGACAGCAGCGACGGCAGCGAGGGCGGCGGCAGCGGGAGCGGCGACGACGAGGGGGCCGCGCCGCGCGGCGGGCGCTCGGCGTCGATAGAGGAGGGGTCCAGTGAAGGTGGTGAGGATGCCAGCGGCGACGCGGAGGATGGAGGCCCGCGGCGGAGGCGCGGCGGCGCCGGCGCCGCGGGCGGCGGCGGCAGTGGTGGGGATGAGGAGGTCGAGCTGGATGACGTGGCGCTGGCAGCTCTCGGGAAGCTGTCGCGGAAGAGGTGGGCGGGGCGGGGGGTTTCAGGGGTTTTGGCGGCGAGTTGGGGCCCCGTATGGACGCTTCCAGCGAACGTGCGGGCAAGCTGGTCCAAGGCAACTCTCAGGCGGCAAACGGGCCGCCCGGCGCTGCCTGCCGTGAGGGTGCATTGCCGGTGCCACCGGCGCTGCTGCTGACTCGCCGGCACGACGCCCTGCAGGCGGCGCTCGCCAGGGCTGGGCGGCCGCGGCGGCGAGGACGGCGGGGCCGCCTCGGGTGGAGAGGTTGAGGAGGGGGATGAGGAAGAAGACAGCGGCGGTTCGGAAGAGGGGATCGATCCGGGGGCGGTCGATTGGGAGCACCTGGAGTCGGAAGAAGGGGATGAGGAGGCTGGGAGGGCAGGGGTGCGACCGCGCCGCGCCGCGGCGGCAGCAGCGGCCTCTGCATCTGAAGATGAGGATGCGGACGAGGGCGGTGGCGGCCGCGGCGGCAGCGGCGGCGGTTCGGAAGACTTTGGCAGCGGCTCCGGCGGCGACGGCGACGACAGCGGCAGCGACGGCGGCGAGGAGGGCGGCTCCGGGTCCGACGGCAAAGGGGCGGCGCGGCGGCGGCGGCGGGGAACGGACGCCCGCGTGGCCGAGGGCGGCGCCGAGCAGCCGCTGCCGCCGCCGCCGCCCGGCGAGCCGCCAGCCCTGCCCGCGTGGCAGCAGCGGCAGCAGCAGCAGCAGCGGCGGGAGCAGCAGGAGGTGAAGCAGAAGATGAGCCGCCTCGAGAAGTTCATCAAGAAGAAGGGCAAGCGGCTGGGGCAGAGGGCGCGGCGGGCGATGCTAGAGAAGCTTCACGGCCACAGGGCGCGCCACCTGCAGCTGCAGCAGCAGCAGGAGGAGCACGAGCGGCGGCTGTATGAACAGTCCCTGCGGGCGCGCGAGCGGGGCCAGGAGGGCCGCGGCGGCCGAGGCGAGGCGGCGCGCGGCGGCGGGCGAGGCGGCGGGCGAGGCGGCGGGCGGGGCAGCGGGCGGGGCG